GCTCAACGCCGCCATCTTCGCCGCCGAGTACCAGAAAGTGAACGCCCTCTTCGAGCGTGCTCTGATCCTCCTCAACAAAATGCCCAGGATGTGGGAGATGTACCTCAAGTTCCTCATGCAGCAGCCCGTCGTCACCGCCACCCGCCACGCCTTCGACCGCGCCCTGCGCGCCCTCCCCATCACCCAGCACAACAGGATATGGGCCCTCTACAAGCCCTTCGCCAACTCGGCCGAGGGCATGACCGCCGTCAAGATCTGGCGCCGCTACATGCAGGTCCACCCCGAGGACGCTGAGGACTTTGTCGAGCTGCTGGTCCAGACCGGCCTGTACACTGAGGCCGTGAACAAGTCCATGGACATCCTCAACAACCCCCGCTTCCAGAGCAAGAACGCCAAGGGGCATTACGAGCTCTGGGGCGAGATGGTCGATCTGCTCGTCGAGCACGCCGTGGAAATCGAGACGGGCCACGAGACGAGCATCGACGTCGACCGCATCATCCGCAGCGGGATTGACCGCTTCAGCGACCAACGAGGCAAGCTGTGGTGCGGTCTGGCCACCTACTGGATCCGCCGCGGCAACTTTGAGCGTGCGAGGGACGTATTCGAGGAGGGCATCACCACCGTCATGACGGTACGAGACTTTACCCTCGTGTTCGACTCGTACGCCGAGTTCGAGGAGTCTATCATTGGTGCCCTGATGGAGCTCGCCTCTACACGAGCCGAGAAGGGCGTCGTGGACGAGATGGCCGACTTTGACCTCGACATCCGCATGATGCGCTTCGAGCATCTGATGGACCGCCGCCCCTTCCTCCTGAACGACGTCCTGCTCCGCCAGAACCCCTACAACGTCACCGAGTGGGAGAAGCGGGTCGCACTATGGGGCGAGAACAAGCAGGAGGTTGTCCAGACCTACACCGACGCCATCGCCGCCATCCAGCAGCCCAAGAAGGCCGTCGGCGCCTTCCACCAACTATGGGCCAATTTCGCAAAGTTTTACGAAAAGGGGGGAGACTTGCGGAACGCCCGCATCATCATGGAGAAGGCCGTCAAAGTGCCCTTCAAGTCGGTCGCCGAGCTTGCCGACATGTGGATCGAATGGGCCGAGATGGAGCTCCGGAACGAGAACTTTGACGAGGCCGTCAGAATCATGGCCAAGGCCGTCCAGGCACCCAAGCGGTCGACGGTCGACTACTTTGACGAGACGCTGTCACCCCAACAACGAGTGCACAAGAGCTGGAAGCTGTGGAGCTTCTACGTTGACCTCGTTGAGAGCGTGAGCTCGCTCGACGAGACCAAGAAGGTTTACGAGAGGATATTCGAGCTCCGCATCGCGACGCCGCAAACTGTGGTGAACTACGCCAACCTACTCGAGGAGCACAAGTACTTTGAGGAGTCGTTCAAGATCTACGAACGCGGTCTCGACCTCTTCAGCTACCCGGTCGCCTTTGAGCTGTGGAATCTCTACCTCACCAAGGCAGTCGACCGCAAGATCGGCATAGAACGGCTGCGCGATCTCTTTGAGCAGGCCGTCCTCGACTGCCCGCCCAAGTTCGCCAAGGTCATCTATCTGATGTACGGCAACCTCGAGGAGGAGCGCGGGTTGGCCCGCCACGCCATGCGCATCTACGAGCGCGCCACACGGGCCGTGTCGGACGAAGACCGAGCCGACATGTTCAACTTCTACATTACCAAATCCGCTTCCAACTTTGGCCTCCCCTCGACACGCCCCATCTATGAGCGCGCCATCGCGACGCTGCCGGACCACGAGGCCCGCGATATGTGCCTCAAGTTCGCCGACATGGAGAAGAGGTTAGGCGAGATCGACCGGGCCCGGGCCATCTACGGGCACGCGTCGCAGTTCTGTGACCCGCGCACGAACCCCGACTTCTGGACTAAGTGGGAGCAGTTCGAGGTGCAGCACGGCAACGAGGACACGTTCAAGGAGATGCTGCGCATCAAGCGCAGCGTCCAGGCGCAGTATAACACAGACGTCAACTTTATCGCCTCGCAGGCGCTGGCACGGAGCCAGGCGCAGAAGCAGCAGCAGGACGGTGAAGAGGAGGTCGACCAGGAGGTTGTGGACGCCATGGAACAGCTGGAAAGGCAGGCGCGCGCCCCCGCAGGGTTTGTCGCCTCCTCGGAGGGGCTCAAGGGGAATGTGGCCAGCCAGTCGGTCGAGGTCGCCAACCCCGACGCCATCGATCTTGACGATATGGACGAATGACATGATCTCTGTACTTTGAAATGAGGACGGTGTTTGCTTTGTTTTTTGGGGGGAAGAGGCGGACAGGCCAGATTATTGCGAGGGGCGCGGACGGGCGCGCGGGTAGGATAAGGGGTGATGTTGCTGCCCCATCATTTTTTTCTTTTCAGGTTGAAGCGGGACTCGGAACGGACGATCGAATATACTCCTACCCACGTACACACCGAAGTTCCTACCAGGTACGGAACGGTTCTTTTATGATTTTGTATTGACCCCCTCGTGCGCAGCAATTCCCAAGCCAACTTGGCGCACACTAGACCCTGTTCCAACAATCAACATCGAGGATATGAAACTGCTCCATCAACCTAACTTGGACTCGGATTCAAACCCAACAAACAACCCAACCAGGAAAAATGCACAAAATGGACAAAGAAAAGGGGAATCCCTCCTCCACCCATCCAACCATCAAGTCCAGCTAACCACCCGGCGAAAGCAGTGGCACCGGACTACTTGGTCATGTCGGACTTGAGAAAAAACCCCCGGTTGTCGTGCGCCATCTCGGCCAGCTTCTCGTAGAACTTGGTCGCGTGGTTGTTGTCGACGCGGCCGTCGCGGGAGGCTGGGTTGGGTATCAGCGGTATTTCTCGGTATCTCGCATAGCCCCTTTCTCCCACTCGGATCCTATCTCTCCTCAATTCTATCTCTCCCCCAGTTGTATCTTTCTATCCACCCGTCTCTCTTGCTTTCTTCCTCCGCCCCCATCCCACCCCCTCCCCCCTCTCTCTCCCTCTCTCTCTCTCTTTCCCTCTCCCCCCCCTCTCTCTCCTTCCACATCCACTTTTCCCCTGATCCCTCGACCTCGGAGTGGGGAGGAGGCAAGCACGAAGATGAGGGTGGCAGGGAAGACTTACACTGAACGGCGTAGATAGACCCCTTCCGCTTCTGGAAGCGCGAGGGTGGCACTTTGGCGGCGTCTGCGTCAAGGAAACTTGCTGTTAGGCCGCGCTGATACCAGACACAGATGGTGTGGGAGGGGAGGTAGACAGGGAAATACACACCCCACTCGTCACTGCTCCTCCGATCAGCCTGTAATGTGGGCGACATAGGCGTGGCGGGGGGGCTGGCGGGGCCGGCGACCGCGGTAGTGACCGCTGGCATGACCGGCATGGCCGCCGCCGGAGGCTGCGACATGGTGGTGGTCATCATCGCGGGGAACTGCGGGGCGGTTGGGCTCGCGTTGGACTCAGTGGTGCTGGCGCTGCTTTGTTTCCGGTTCTCTGGGTCGAGGGGTGGGGTGTTAGTCGGTAGTCCCGTTTGTCTGGTTGCCGGGACGGAGGTTCAAGGGGAGGGGGAGGGGATAGGAGCCCGAGGGGGGTGGGGTCGTCGGGAGGAGAGGACGGTTCGTGAGTGAGGATGGAGGGGTACATACCCATGTTGGTACTGAGGGTCTAGATCAGGGAGGTTTATACGAGAAGGATATTGTTGACTCGGTACGATTGGGTGGTATGGCGATGGTTTGAGGTCGGTTTGCCGGCGTTGGCATGGGGAAAAGAGAGCAAGGAGCGGCGGTTAAGAGCGTCGAGGTGGATAAGATTCAGACGCAGAAGACGTCAGGAATGCAGTCTGAGCGCATCTCATCCAAGCTCTGTCGACGGATGACAAAGTCTGGGGCGGTCGCTGTGGTGGTTGTTGTCGAGGGCAAAGCAAGGGGGAGCTTGTCAGGCCAGGTCTGGGCGCGTGGCTGTTTTTGCCCTCCGTTCTCCCCTCCCCCTCCCCCTCCCGTCCGCTTCGCCTCCGCCCTCTTCCTTTCTTCGTACTTGTAAGCTGCTGTGGAGGAGGAGGTGCCTATCTATGCCTCCATCGTAAGCTTTGTCCCTAAGAATAGCCAGCCACGCAAACGGAAGTGTTGCCTCGTCACTTCGGGGCGGTGTTAAGCCCTCTGCCCCCGTCTCGGACATGTCGTCCCCCGAACCCCCTTCCCCTGGACCGGCTTAGATCATGCGAATACCATGCCTACATGCATAGGTAGGTACACACATACACAGCCCAGCCCAAATCAGCCCATACCACACAGCCCGGCACCCAGTGCACCAGTGATCCAACCGCCGTCCCTCCCTCCCTCCCTCAGGACAACATCCCCCGCCCATCCATCACGCGCCCGTGTCCGATCGGACCACGCCCATCCTGATCCAATCACAGCCATGGCCATGGTCTGAGGGGTTCAAGCTTCCCCGGGTCTGACGTCATGGTTGACGGATGCATCTGTCAGGGCCAAGCGCCCAGTTCCCAACACCACACACAACGCCCAAAAGGGGGCTTATCAGCGACGGTATCGCTGATAGAAGGATAGGTCTGTTGTAACGTTCGGGGCCAACGTTGCCATGGACAGATAGATCAGCGCACGGCAAACTCCATCAATCTCCGAAAGTCATGATGCTGCCAAGGGCAAATCTGGCGAGGCCTCGAGGGGTGCCATCGCCCCAGCACGACAAAGACGAAGTGGCAATATACCAAATCCCAACGATCCGGCGCGATGGTGGAATATCACTGTCTACTAATCTTCCATCTCGGCTGGGCAGACACCCCGTGGCTGTGAAGTGGATGTGTGGATACATCAGTCGAGTGATTCGTAAACGTGGGGAAGGAAGGGAGAGGGCGGATGGAGAGGCAGGACCCACGATCTACGGTTGACGCGGATAATTTACAAAGCAAGGCGCAATGTTTATTCAGGGACGTCAAAAAGTCTCCGGACGGAGAAAAAGAAAAGAAATCAGGAGGGTGTCGAATCAAAAGAATGAGGTCGTGCCCGGGTTCGAACCGGGGTTATTGGAAAGACTGGTGAGAGCAATCAAAATCCAAAGTGATAACCACTACACTACACAACCTTGCGTTGCGTGTTGAGTGCAAGGCTTGCGATTGGTGGCTCAAGTAAGCCAAACCATAAGAAGTCAGGGTTAGGGTTACACATGCAGCTTCAACTCATTGACGACGACACAGGGCGCAGGCACAATAGGAGATTTGGGAAGAGCATGTATCTATCAGCATGTGTACGCAGTGGCAGTACTCTATGGGCCGATGTGACAACATCCCGGCTAACAATGTCCCAGTTCTCAGTGCTCCCGACCCCCACCTAGACCATCCCTGCTCATGACTTGCGGTGCAGCACACCGGCACCGGCCTGTCAACTTGTCAGTCTACCTCCAAGACAAGAAATATTCTCCCAGTTTCCCTACCTGATGACTCGGGAAGATGAGCGTGTCGGCAACGACCACGTTCTGCCGCCTCGACGCGACGAACACGACCACCTCGGCGATGTCGTCGGGGGTCAGGGGGTCGCAGCCACTGTATTTCATGGGCCCAGGGTCAGCAACACTGTGTCTGGCGTCGTGTGTCCAGTCTCCGTAACGACAGCGGTGTACTCACTCATAGACGGCATCGGCCTTGGACTTGTCGCCGTAGAAGCGGACGACCGAGAACTCCTGCACCACGAAACCCAACCGCATCAGCACTCCGAGCTTCCAGTGAATAAAGGCGAGGTCAAAACCCACCGTCTCAACCTGCCCGGGATCAACCTCCATAACACGGATGCGCGTGTCGATGAGCTCCTTGCGCAGGGCGTCGGTGAAGGCGCGCACGGCGGCCTTGGTGGCGCAGTAGATGCTGCCGCCGGCGTAGGGCTCGCGGCCGGCGATGCTGCCGATGTTGATGATGTCGCCGGCGCCGCCGTCTGGGCGGGCCTTGAAGATGGGCAGCACGGCCTGCGTCATGTTGATCAGGCCCGTCACGTTGGTCTGGAACATGACGTCGATGTCCTCCTCGGCGATGCCGGGGGCGCGGGCGACTGGGGGAAAAGTCAGTATCGCAGGCTTCCCCTCTCTCCCCCCCGTTTACCTCCATGATTGGATCAACAATACACACCTCCCTTGACCAGACCCCTAAAATAGCCCGTGTCAGCAAATCATCCATCCCAGCCTTCTTACCGATCTACCAACCCCCCAAACCACCAAAATCCCAAAAACGAGCCAAAAACTCACGCGTTATTAACCAACACATCCACCCCCTTAAACCCCTCCTCCAACCCCCCCACAAACCCCCTCACAGCATCCTTATCCGCCACATCCAGCGCCCTCACCAGCACCTTGACCCCCTCGCCCACCTCCTTCCTAATCTCCTCCTTCAGCTCTTGCAGCCTCTCCTCCCTCCTCGCCGTCAGGATCAGCCTCAGATCACGGGGCGCTGCCCGCGCAAACTCGAGCGCGCAGCTCCGCCCGATGCCCGAGCTCGCGCCTGTGATCAGGATTGTTTTGCCTTCGAGGCGGGCGGCGGCTGAGGGGGGGAGGGTGGAGGTGGACATGGTTCTTTTTGGTGGGGGTGGTGAGAATGGTGTGGTGAGTGGTGAGGGTGTTGTGGTTGTGATCTTGGTGATGGTGGGGGGAAACGGCACCCGGGACAATGAGGAGAAACCAAGGTGGGGTTGGCAGGAGAGAGACAGCGGGAACCGGCACAAGACTCGACAAGCGGGAGTCGACGAGACTTTTGTAGCAGCAGCAGCAGCAGTGATTGCAGTCCTCAAGAACATGGCAAGGGGAAAAAGGTCCAACCTCCGGCAACGGAGCGCGGAGAGTGGGCAAAAAAGGGGGTTTATAAGCAATGGGAAGTCGGATTCGGATTCGTCCACCCGCAACGGACACAGAGCACAGAGAGGCAAGTTCCCAGAACTGACCCCCGCGGACTCGGCCCTGACGCCATTCTGCCCGGCCCACACGCGTGGCCCCTCGCGCTCCAATGCCGTTGCCGGGCCGGCCCCGGAAAACACCCCGCATCGCGCTCTGCTCGGGGATAAGCACCATCCTGGCCGTTTCACCAAGCAGTTACCCCGCACAGTCAATTGTTGCGATTTGCTCAAAGAAAAGAAAAGGCCAGACAACACTGAACTGAACGGAACTGAACGTGGGGAGATGTAATCAGACGTGACTGAGGCAGAGAAGAAGTTGACATGTGATGATTAAAAATATGTACGGTACGGGACGGTATCCAGACAGCAATAATATGTGTGCCTCTCTGACTTACCCCTGAAAACACCCTCTTTTCCCGCCCCTCGCCGGGCTCTAATCCATGAAAGATCCATGGCACTCCCGTCTATGCTATCCAAAAAAACGCCGCCATAAATCCAAACTGACATAAACAAATGCATCCAAAAAAGAGCCAGCCATCCCCTAACTACACACCAGCAGCTGCCACCCCCGCAGCCGCCACCCCCGTAACGGCCGCCCCAGTGATGACTCCCATCTGCGAGAGCCTGACCGACCGCCTCCTCTTGGCCTCCTCAATATACCGCTGCTTGATCATCTCCTCCATGGACACCCTGTTCTTGCGATACGCGCCCAGCGTCACCACCATGGCGGCCGCCAGCACGGCGCAGCACACAATCATGTCCTCCTTGAGCGCGTCCGTGTACACCTGTCGGATGGCGGCCCACTGCCCCGGCGACAGGGCCGCCGGGTTCGCCGCCAGGTGAGTGAACGCCTCGGCCGGCAACGCCCCCGTCGCCAGCTGAGCGCGCGACTTGGACCCCAGGATCGCCGACGACGCCGCGATGCCGATGCTCCCGCCAAAGATGCGCACCTGCGCCATGATGCCCTGCGCGGATGCTGGAAAACGAACTCGGTCAGCATCTCGGCCATGGAACTCCTCTGGTAAACGCAAATCAACTCACCATGCTCAAAAACCGGCGCTTCCACCGCGGCCGTCATCGTCCCTGCGGCTGCCGACAGCCCAAACCCCAGCCCGATAAACACCAAAAACCCCAACACCTTGGCCTCCACCTTCCCCTCACTCCCCGCCATAATCTCCAGCCCACACCCCAACAGCATCAGCACGCACGCCGCCATGAGCGTCTCAAAAAACCTCGCCTTCTTATCCGCCGCGCCGCTGACCACGCCCGCGCCCACGGTACCCAACGCCGTGGCCGCCAGCATGGGCAGCAGCATTAAGCCCGCGTCGCGCGCGCTCTTTCCATACACGACCTGGAAGCGCACGGGGAAGGCGTAGATGCAGAGCAGGTAGGGGAAGCCGATGAGCAGGGTGTGCGCGACGGCGGCGGCGTAGGTGCGGTTGCGGATGAGGACCAAGGGGAGCGCCGAGGCGAGGTTGACGCCCCGCCGCTCGAGGTACAGCTGCCAGGCGAAGAGCCCGGCGAACGCGGCGATGCCGGTCAGGAGCGGCGCGAGGAAGATGGCCGAGGACCAGGTCGGGTTGGAGGCGGCGTTTTGGAAGGGGAAGACGATCAGGACGGCGGAGGAGATTCTGCGGAGGAGGGAGGGGGGGTGGTGTGAGTAGGGGGTGAGGTGGGACAGGGTTACGCAAGGACCAGGGGGGGAGGGGACTTACAGGAGGAATGCGCCGACAAAGTCAACGTCTTTCCAGGTACGGCGTTGGAGAGAGGGGAGGTACTGCTTGTTGGGCCAGGCGAGCAGGAAGACGAGGAGGGAGACGCCGCCGACGGGACCACTGATGCCAGGTTAGCTTTGCGCGATCCCCTCGGTAGAGAGGAGACTAACTTAATCCAAAACACCCATCGCCAGCTGGCGTACTGGGTCAGCAAGCCGCCGACCACCGGGCCCAACACACCCGACGAAGCCAGGACCATGCCCACGACACCCGAGATGTACTTCTTGGCCCGATCGGGCGTCACCTCGGGCATGATGATCATCGAGATGCTATACAAGCCTAAACACATGTCAGCCCCCCCTGTTCTGCGTTGATTCCCTCCCAAGGACAAACTCACCACTCCCGCCCAGCCCCTGAAGCGCGCGAAAGGCAATCAGCTGGTTCATGCCCTTGGCGAAGCCGCAGGCCAGGGAGAAGGCGATGAAGACGACATAGGCCGCGACGAAGGCGGCGCGGCGGCCGACCACGTCCGAGATGCGGGCGAACAGAACGGCGCAGCTCAAAAAGGTCAGAGTGTAGGCGAGCGCCACCCAGTTGATGTTGTCGACCTCTTTGAACTCGACGGCGATGGTGAACAGCGAGGTGGAGACGATGGACGAGTCGAGCATCGACAGGAACAGGCCGAGGGCGACGCTGGGCGTGGCTGTTAGTTTATCCTCAAGTGTCCCGGTTGCTGGGCGGTGCGTATGTAGGTAGGTACATACCCGGTGATGACGGCAAAGAGGCGTAGCTTGGGGATGGGTTGTGCTCCTATACGTTTCTCGCCGTCTTCGGGGCCTAATTCTTTGGGGATGCCGGGCGGGGGCCCCTCGCCGGGGGGGGAGGGCAGTTGCGGTTTGGGTTCCGAGGAGTCGCTCTCCCGGTCGACTGAGGACGCCGCCATTGAAGGTAATGTTATGGCTTGAGGATCCGCAGCGGGCTTTTCGTCTTGGTTCATGGTAACAACAAGGGCCGTCCGCCGGACGTCAAGCGGCGGCTGGCGTCAGTTAATAAATAGGAGTTTCTCAAAAAAGGTCGAGTCCTGGATGGGAGCCGGAGATAGCGCGTGGGCGTAAGCATGGGCCCCCACATCCACTGCTGAGGGATTCGAATTTCCAACAGCAGCGACCGGCCATCGACGGATCCAGTTTCGGCCTTGACACTAAGGGCTACGGGAACGAGAGGCGTGTGGATGGCAGCATGTGGTCTCTCTCGACCGCGTCAGCGTCGACAGCGATGCCAATGGCCGAGGAGAGATGCGGTCCCGTCGGCGTTGGGTCGGCGATGAGGTGGTGCGAGCCGCGCGGTGGCACGTGGGTGAGCGGGTCGGTGGGCGGGTGCCGCGATGCGGTGATGGTGGTGATGCGACGGCGGATGGGTGCGAGTGTGCGAGAAGTGCGAGGGGTGCGAGGGGTGCGAGGATGCGAGAATGCGAGAATCCAGTCTCCAACTCTCG